CAACAAGTATAAGTGATCTAGTGATAGAATAGCGCTTTACTATGGTTACAAACCTTACTTTGATTCCGAGATGGTGTATTTATAATTGAATAATTTTAAAACAACAAAAATTATAACATAATTAAAACTCAAAAATTATAACTGCATTGGTCGGTAAATACCGATCAATATTTTTCGGACCCATCCAATTTGGTCGATAATCCTTCAAAACCGACTGCATTCTGTAGGTTTTATCGTTGGGAAAAGACATTTTTTAGTAGTGATGGTACCACATAGATCGGGAACGGAGAGAGTAGTTCTTTAAATATTTTAGTGCCAAAAAAGCTAAATGTACCTTTGCACTGGAGGGGAACACCAGGCATGTTACAAGCTTGGGGAAGAGACATGGCTAAGTTGGGATTCATTGGCATCTGGAATGGAATACCACCAGTGACAATAAGGCAGAGACAATTCGTGCCGTTGGTCATCATAGTCCTGAGTGCACTGCAGCAATCTTCAGTTGGTGAAGTCCCATTGCTGCTGCTATTTGTCAAGAAGTTCACACATGGTGTGAAGCTAGTGATCATTGGTCCCGTGCATGGCGTACTGATAATTTGGCCATCAACTGGCTGCAGTACTGCTGCCATAAAAATCATTGACAGAAGCAAATTTGAAAAAGCCAAGTGCTTATAAGCCATGTCGAAGCTGGAAAAGTATTGATGAGACGAGTTGACTTAGCTTGTGATCGGTTGAAAGTTTGAGTAATATTTTTGATATAATTGGTTTATCGGAATTTGTGTATTAGGTTGTGAATGGTTAAGTAGAGAGAATGAAGGGATATTATAGGGGAGATTTTGAAAAGATAATGAAGAAGATCAGTTGAATTAAGATTAGCAGGTATTTAAGTTCAACAACCTTAACAAACTTTTGTCCAGGTACTCCAATGGTTTTGCTGCTTGTGTCTATAGGCTTTGCTTGCCGTGGCATATAATTGTTACTACTACGTTTGAGGTTTGAAGAGACCCAAAATAATTTCATATCATTAGTTATCCTCGAGTAGAAAATGGAGCTATCTCTATCCCAATGGCATCAAACTGTCCAACTACATAGAACAAGATCTATCAACCTTAAAAACAACTATCAAAATACGTTTTCTCTTTTACCAAAACCGGTAAAACAACATAATTTACAATTGCAAACAAATAAGCAAATATAAGGTGTGCGCGCACGCGTGTATCAAATGTGTCTAGCTAAAAACCAAAATTAATTTTCCATCAAATAAAATTATGCAATTATAGTAGCAAGTAAATACCAGAAAGCATTAAACTTAATCTTGTTATATTGATAGATCGATATAATTGAAAATGGAAAATTAATAGTTCAATTGTTTTCTTGCGGTTGTTCAATTGTTCATTCAAAAAAGGATTTCTTGTAAGGTTCTGTCCAATTAACATAGTACGAATAGATGTAGTAATCAAATGGTCATTATGCGAATTGAAAGTTAGCTCGTATTTGGTATCGCGTTAATAGAGATGGTAATGGGGCGGGGCGCGGGGCGGTACGGGTTTAACCTTAACCCGTAAAGACTTCAACCCGTCCCACATAGCAAAAATTTCAGTTTTCAACTCGCCCCGCGCAGACTCTTAAATCCCTCGTATGATAGGACCCAACTCTTTATTTATTTGAAGGTGATTTTTCTATTGTCAACGGTCAGCATGGTTATTCTTCTCCTTTTTCTACGTTCAATGGAAATATTATTTTTATGAAGGAAACCAAACAAACACTTGTGCTGACAAATTATAAATTTGTGTCATATAGTGCTAACTCATATTTCTGAATGCCGCACCTTTTACCAGAATCCATTACTCAGATGATCATTCAACTATTCGGAATTATTTATCAAAGTTATCTTTTTTTCGTTTGTAACAACAAAGTCACATAACTATGCTAATAACACTCAGAAGGTCATTTAACTAGATTTCTCAAATTTTTGATTGCCAAATACTTAATTTACCATCTAAATTATCAATTTTTATCTTCTTTTTATTTTTTTAGCTTTTTAATATAATAATTTTTTTTCCCTTTTTAATTTATATTATGGGCTTACCTTAGAATAAATAAATTTTATTTATAAAATAAAAAAATTAAAATAGTATTTAAGCATATACAATGTTTGAATAATGAAATATTGCGCATAATATAAAGTTAATTAGAACAATTTGTTCGTAATAATAATTTTGAGAATGAAAGAAAAGAAAATTTTTAAAATATATATTCCATGCACGTACTATAGAAAATAATTATTTAAAATAAAGGTATTTTTGTAATATACATTACATATTCTTGAATTTTATGCTCAATTCTATTATTATTTCGACATTATATATGCTAGAAAAATATATTTTTTATTTTTTATTTTTAAATAAAATATTTTTGTTCTATAGGTAAGTCCATAATATTGATTAAAAAGAGAAAAAATTATAATATTTAAAAAAGCAAAAAAAAAAAATCAGAAGATAAAGTTGATAATTTATAGGGGTAAAATAGGTATTTGGTTATCAAAAGTTTGATAAATCTGGTTGAGTGACCTTCTTAATGCTATAGGTATAGCTAAGTGACTTTGCTGTTACAAACGAAAGAAAGATGACTTTGGTAGATAATTTCAGAAAGTTGAGTGATCCATCTAAGTAATTGACTTCCTTTTACTACTAAGATATACTACTTTATTTTTGAATTTTTTTATTAGAAAATTTTTTTATTTTCTTGTTATCAAGATACTTTACAAGTTAAAGTCTTTTGATATCTATATTTTTTGTTTGAATAAGATAAAACTATGATATAGTGCACTAGTATAACGTTGACTACTATATAGCACATTATGACTGGAAAAAAAATTAAATAGTGTAATCATGGGTTAATGATATAAAGAAATCTTTACTTAAAAAGGTTTAAAAATAAAGAAGCAAAATTAAACAAGAAAATGCTTTGCAAGATGTAGCTAAAAAATAAAAGTAGAAAAATAGAAGGGGAATAGTTGCTTTGTACATACTACAGTATGTAGGAAACATAAGAATAAAAAAATTAATACAATTATTTTCAAGAATTGATATTACAAGTCATGATATTACACCCGAGCCTTCTGAGACCCCATCCAATCACACCGAAAAGTCCATGAGCACTACACATATCCAATGCCTCTAAACACATACAATAAAAACACATCAACGAATCACAGAACAAATCAAAAGTTGAGCTTCTCTTAAATTCAAGAACTTTCAAACTTCCAACCAAGCATCTGATTCAAGCCTAACCATTCCGGATTAAATCCAAACTTTGCACCCCAAGTTCCAAAATAACAAAACAAACTTATTGGAACCATCAAATTACCAATTCAAGGTCGTTTGCATAAAAGTCAAATCTTGGCCAACTCTTACGACTTAAGCTTCCAACAATGGAACTAAGTGTTCCAATTTACTCCAAAATCTCCTCGGAACCAAGGCAACCATCTCCTCAAGTAGGGAAAATAGTGCTTAAATACACAAAACGACCGGTCAAGACATTATAATCTTAGACTCATGTAGTGGCTTTTATATAAATATTGGTTGATGCGTATCATGCTGTAATGTGAGGATTGAGGTATTTAATATCTGATTGATCTCTCTTTTAACTGCAAAGCATGCCTAATTTTCATATGTACTGTGTCTCTAGCCTTTGTATCTATTTGATGAAACCATGCTTTAGTTTGTATCTTATTTATGCTTTTACCTCATTATCGGACTGTTAATAGTTGATGTCGACCTCTCGCCACCACTTCGTCAAGGCTAGACTTTATACTTGATGAGTACAGTGGTTTTGTACTCATACTACACTTCTGTATATTTTTGTGTAGGTTTTGAGGCAGGTACTAGTGGTACCCATCCAGTTGAGTAGGAGTATTTTATTGGAGACTTTTTGGTGAGCTACCTTATTTGATCTGATCCGCAACACATGGAGTCCCTTTCCCTACTTATCCATCTCTGTCTATTTATTTCCTTTTTAGATGGATGTGTTTGTCAATTGAGATTACCTACTCTTGTTGGATGCTTATGACCTTGTGACACTAGGTTTTGGGCGTTAGTTAGACAGTTATGGTCGTATTTAGACCCTATCTTAGATATATGTATATCATAATGCTATTTTAAGACTTATTCCGCTTTAATATCTTTATCATATCTCTGTTAATAACTTAATAATTGGATTATATTATTGTTATTTAGTGTTAGCTTGCTTAGTAAGCAAGTTAGGATCCTTCACGACCTTTGGTGGAAGTTTTGGTCGTGACACACATAATATGTTGGATGCAAGCTTTTATTTTATCCATCCCTCTCCAATACGATGTGTGACATCCTCGTCAATCTCCTTATTACTTTGGAGTATTAATCCAAGATACTTGAAACTTCCTCTGTTGGGGGTGACTTGTGTATCCAGCCTCACTTCACGTTAGCCTCCTGAGTCTCGTTACTGAACTTTTACTGAAAGTATTCTGTCTTAGTCCTTCTCAATCTGAATCATTTAGACTTCAAGGTCTTCCTTCAAACCTCCAGCCTTGCATCAACACCAACTCGTTTCTCGTCAAGAACTATGTCATCTGCAAATAACATGCACCAATATACCTCCCCTTGAATATTTCATTTCAACTCATCCATCACCAAGGCATATAAGAACTAGCTGAGAGCTAATCTCTGGTGCAACCCCATCATGACTGGGTAGTGACCGAAGTCTCCTCCCACTGTCCTCACCCGTATCTTAGATCCATCGTACATATCCTTAATCACCTAGTGTAGGCGACATGTATATCTCTAGCCTCCAAACATCTTCACAGAACCTCCATTGGGACTTTTTCTTGGTCGATGCACACCATATGTAAGTCTTTTTTTCTCTCTCTATACTACTCCATCGATCTCCTAACAAGTGAATGACTTCTGTAGTAGCAGTCTAGGCAGAAGAGTTATGTTGATAGGAAGGTTAGTGATGTAGTATTCATGGAGGGTAAAAAGGTTCTTCTTAGAGTTTCATCTATAAAGAGTGTGATGAGGTTTGGGAGGAAGGGCAAGTTGAGTCCTCGGTACATTGGTCTGTTTGAGGTTTTGGAGAAAGTAGATGAAGTGGGTTACAGACTTGCTTTGACACCCAACTTATTGGGAGTTCACCCGGTGTTTCGTGTTTCTATACTTCAGAAGTATCATAAGGATCAATCAAATGTGTTGGATTTCAGCTTGGTGCAGTTTGACGAGAATTTGGCTTATGAGGAAGAGTCGATCGCCAGTTTAGATAGGCAAGTTCGAAAGCTTACGTCTAAGGAGATAATGTCAGTGAAGGTCTAATGGAGAGGTCAGTCGGTTGAGGAGGCGACTCGAGAGACCGAGCATGATATGTGGAGCAGATATCCCTGCCTTTTTGGCACTACATGTATAATTCTAAACCTATTCATGGACAAATGTTTGAATAAGAGGGGGAGAATGTAACGACTCGGCCAGTCATTTTGTGTATTTGAGCCTTATTTCCCCGTTTGATATTTCCCGTATGATTGTTATTTATTTTGGGAATTGCATGAATGGTTATTTCGGTTCCGGGGAGGTATTGGAGTGAATTGAAACACTTAGTTCCTTTGTTGGAAGCTTAAGTTGTAACAGTTAACCTAGGTTTTAATTTTTTTGTAAACGACCTCAGATTGGTGATTTGATGCTTCCATTAGGTTTGTATGGTGATTTTGGACGTAGGCGTATGCCTGAGTTTGGATTTGGAAGTTCCTACGATGTTTTGGCCCTATTGCCGAATGTTGGCAGTTTGAAGGTTTGGAGAGTTCCTAAGTTTGACATGAAGTTGACTTTGATGATATCGGGTACGGATTGTTGTTTTATAAGTTGGGCTAGATTCGTTTTGTCATTTGGGTTTTGTATGCAAAGTTTGATTGTGATCCGGATTGGTTAGACTTGAATCAGACGCTTGGTTTGAAGATGGAAGTTCTTGAATTTATGAGAAGTTCAATTTATGTTTTAATCTTTGATTCATTGGTGTGATGTCATTTTATGTGTTTGGAGACCTTGGATAGGTCTAGGTAGTGTTTATGGACTTGTTGGTATGATTGACAGGGCTCTGGGTGGCTCGAGTGAGTTCGGACTAGTCAGAGCATTGTTGGGTTGCACAATTTTTCTAGTGTTAGGTCCTTCATCTCGATTGCGGAGTGTATTTTGGTGTTGGGTAGGTTATGTTTTTCTAGTCGCTTGAATTGTTGATGATGGCTACGTGCCTAAGCTGATGCACATGCGGGGGATGAGCATATGTGCATGCACTGGATTTTATCCATGGTCGGGGTAGTTCTTAGGCTATTCTATGCCTTATATTGAATACAATGCTTCTTGCTATCATGCTTCATATGTTTGTACCCCTTTGTGCGTTGAATTATGCTAGAGTTCATGCGTAGTTAATGGCCTATTCAAACATGATAAATTATTGTGTGTGGTGTATCCGCCTAATCTGAGATGTGGTACCACACTTTGCACATGCATACACCTTAGAATATTACTATTATCAGTTCATGAGTATGTAATTTGATATCCATTATTCGTATACATGTATTCTTGTATGTGCTTTCTGTCCGATATGGACTGAATAATATCATGAACCAAATCTTTCCACAAGGGTCGTGATGCCACCTAATTTCTAAAACTAGATAAGTCGGTCACTTAATATTATTTAAAATAATAAAAGCATGATATACTGAAACAAAGTTTAACATAAATGTGGAAATATATGTAATACAAGCCAAAGTGGAAATACTCAACATAACTCCCAGAACTAGGTAGTACAGAGTCACGAGCTCTAGCTGTAGTCATGGGAATATCTAAAATATACAATACTGTTCACATATAAAAATGACAGAATATGTATAAAGGAAAGGAATTCAAAGGACTACGATGGTTAATGCAGCTACCTCGAATCGTCATGATCAACAAAGTTCTCACGACCTAGATTTTCTACCTCCAACATCTGGATCTGCACAAAAATATGCTGAAGTGTAGTATGAGTACACCACGTTGGGTACCCAGTATGTGTCAAAACTAACCTCGGTGAAGTAGTGACGAGGTTCAAGTCATGTGATGCTTACTAGTAAAAAATAACATGTGAAATAAATCAAAAGACCGGCAACACAAACTATAACAGAAATAACAACAATGATATCCTAGGAACAAGTGATAATAGTTAAAAACAAGAAAAACGGCTCAGCTTCAACAACCAGTCATTAAATACAAATACACATATATGGCACCTCACACCTACATTATCAGTCTCATTCAGATGGCAAAGACCTCGTGTCACAACACCAATCACACTCACATGGAAAAGATCTCATGCCAACATCACTCACACTCATACGACAAAGACCTTGTGCCAACATCACTCACACTCGCACGGCAAAGACCTTGTGCCATAATATAATCACACTTCCATGATAAAGACCCCGTGCTCGCACAACAAAGACCTCATGCAAATACCAATCTTACTCGCATGGAAGAAACCTCAAGCTCGCACGGCAAAGACCTCATGCCCATATCAATTAAACTCGCACAAAAGAAACCTCGTGCTCGCATGGGAAGTACCTCATGCCAATACCCAAACAATCCGCTCAACATGTCCGCATGTGTCACAAAATCACAAACAATAATTCCAATATTTTTATCATGGGTATGAGCTCATAATTTATCAACAAGGTGAACAAGGACATGTAAAATAATAAATTGTGGATGGGTATTTAACAAATAAAGCATTACTACGGCTAAAAACAAGTGTAGAGATTAGGATCATATATCCATAAAGTAATTACGCATGGTTCATATACATCACATCCTCAAATTAAGACATATTAATATCCTAAGGTCTTTTTTGGTCACAAACCACACATACCACCCATGTACAAGCTCATCACCTCATGTGCACGTCGCATTCCACATTACACAAAAAATCAATTACGGCCAAATCCTAAGGCGTATTCTCCTACACAAGGTTATGCAAGATACCTACCTTAAATAAGCCAAATCAATACTCCAAAAAGCCCTTGTCTCTCTAATCGGCCGCCAAACGGGCCGAATCTAGCAAAAAACAGCTCAATAATATCAAACACAACTATAGAAATTGATTACACTCAATAAAGCTCTGATCTTTATCAAAAATCAAAATTTTAACCTAGTCCCACATCCCGGAACCCGACAAAAGTCATAAATTTCAAACACCCATACGAATACGAGTCCAACCATATAAGTTTCATCCAATTCTGACTTCGAATCGTGGTTCAAATCCTCATTTTTCATTTAGAATTTTGTTTTACGAAAATCCTTAATTTTCTTCACTTAGATTCATCATTCAAAATGCTAAAATCATGGTTGGAATCATGAATAATAACCAAATCCGAGTCAAAAATACTTACCCCAATCTAAATCGTGAAAATTCACTCTACAATCGCCCAAATCCGAGCTCCCAATCTCAAAATGTGATAAAATAACTCAAACCCCTGAAATAGAGTATTTAATAAATCTTCCCAGTTATACACTTCGCGATCGCGGGACCACCTTCGCGACCGTGATGACCAAACTTAGCCCAGCTGCTGCCCCTTCTTCGCAATGTGAGTACCTGGTCATGAACGTGATGCCTTCCACTGTTGAGCCTATGCGAACGCAGTCCCTCCCATGTGAACGCGAAGGCTAAAAGATTAATTGACCCATCCAGCCTGCCCTTCTACGCAACCGCGACACCTAGCACACGAGCACGATGGCTACTGCCCTGAACTCTCCACGAATGCGACAGCCTCATCGCGAACGCGAAGGAAAAAAATACTAGCCACCTAGAACATGCTTCGCGATTGCGACGCACCTCCTGTGATCGCAATGAACACCAGAACACCAGAAATCAACCACTCCATACATGAGTTAAATAGTCCGAAACTCATCCAAAACATACCCGAGGCCCCTGGGACCCTGTCCAATCACACCAACCAATCCCAAAACATAACACAGACCTACTCGAGGCCATATATCACACAAAATAATATCAAAACTACGAATTGCACACCAATTCAAATTTAATGAACTAATCCAAATTGCCCAATTCCAAACTTGCGCCGAACATGTCTAAACAACTCGGAATGACTCCAAATTTTACACACAAGTCATAAATTACTATACGAACATATTCCAAGGATAAGAATAAAAAAACGGACATTGATAACCACCAAGTCAACTATGGGTCAAATCTATGAACTTCTAAACCTTCAAACTTCCAACTTTCGCCAATTAGAGTCAATTTAACCTAGGAACCTCCAAATCAAAATTTGGACATACACCTAAGTCTAAAATCACCATCTGGACCTAACAGAACTATTAAGACTCTGATCCGAGGTCAAATACACAAAAGTCAAACTTAGTCAACACTTCCAATTTGAGCTTCCAAACTAGGAACTAAGTGTTCCAATTTAATTCAAAACCTCCCCAATACCAAAACAACCATCCTCGCAAGTCACATATCAACAAATACACCTATGGGAATCATTAAATAGTAAAATTGGGCTCAAATATACAAAACAACCAGCCAGACCGTTACGTTCTCCCCCTCTTAAACAAATGTTTATCCTTGAAAGAGTTTAGATACATACCTGAAGTGCCAAAAATATGAGGATATCGGCTCCGAACATGCTCGATCTCTTAAGTCTCTTCCTCGACTGGTTGACCTCTCTATTGGACCTTCACTGATGCAGTGTTCTTCGACCTCAACTTTTGGACCAGCGGGTCCAAAATAACTACTGGCTCCTCAATATAAGTCAAATCCTTGTCCAACTGCACCGAGCTGAAATCTAACACATATGACGGATACCCATAATACATTCGGAGCATGGAATCAAGAAACACCGAATGAACTCCCGATAAGCTAGGTGGAAAAATAAGTCTGTCGTCCACCTCACCAACTCTCTCTAGAATCTTGACAGTACCAATAGACCGAGGGCTCAACTTGCCCTTCTTCCTGAACCTCATCACACCCTTCATGGGTGAAACTCTGAGTAGAACCCTCTCACTACCATGAACGCCATATCACGAGCCTTCCTGTCAGCAAAACTCTTTTTCCTGGACTGCACTGTATGAAAGCACTCTTGAATCAATTTAACCTTCTCTATAGAATCATGAACCAAGTAAGTTCCCAAAAACCTAACCTCTCCAGGCTCTAACTAACCAATCAGAGAACGACATTACCTCCCACATATGGCCTCAGATGGAGCCATCAGAATGCTTGACTAGTAGCTTTTATTGTAGGCGAGCTTTACAAACGGTAGAAATTG